CTGGCTCTTGTCCCTTGCTTAATGGTTTCTGTGTATGAAGACATAGAAAGGGAGTTGCTTATATTCTTCTCAAACAAGAATGATGGCCACAGAGATCCACCAGTGGACCAGAAGTCAGGAAAGTTTGGTTCTTGTTTTAGCTACTGACTAGGTATTAAAGGTTTTGTTTCCTAAAATGATGGTTGGGCTAAATGATCTGTAAGGTCCCTGTGACCTCTAAAGTATTAGAATTTTATGATCTCCACCTTTTCTAGTATCCATGCAAAATCAAGCAATGGAGGCTATACCTTCTCTTTATGGTAGATTTGCAGGAGCATCTGGACAAGTCCCAGAGATTGCAGAGGCAAGGATGGGTTATGACCTATCTCTCACAGTAGGAATAAGGTGAGAATGGGTGGCCCAATTTATAAGCAAAAGGATGGACTTGTAGTGAAAGGAAACTGAACTACTCATTTTCACTTTGTTTCTTTTGGGGTCCAGTGGAAAGTATGGTCTATGGAATAGTATCTTTACAGTATTCATGATAGCTGGCATACATTGGGATCCAAAGAAGATTCAAAGGTCAACATACTCTTATTTCACTGAAATAATCAGTCTGTTTCAACTTGGCCAAAAGACGCTGATGTGTTAAGAAGGCCCTAATTAAAAATTTAAAAACTTCCCTTCTCCTCCCTGATTTGTACCACTAGATGGCAGGGCAGAGTTAAAGTTGATTCAGAGAGAAAAAGCCAGTTAACTTTTTAGAAAATACTAAATGCCATTCTTGAAAGGAAGTATTCTCCTGCTCTCATTTCCTATTCTAGGGATAGTTTAGGCCAGTAATTAATACCTTGAATGAAGTATTGAAGGGGGTGTGCTGTGACATTATGGATGAATGAAATCCCAGTAAGCTGTTCTTTTCATTTTAGAGGTTCAAGCCACCGGGTATTCCAGGGTCAATGATGCAGCTGGAAGGGATCTTAGAAACCATCCTCGTTTGACAGATTAAGAACTGAGGCCTGAAGCAATTGTGACTTGCCCAAGGTCACACCGGTATGAAGTAGCAGAAATGGGATTTGGACATATGCCTTCTGATTCCAAATCTGGTGCTCTTTTCCACTGTATGATTCTGCCTTTGTAGCCAGCTGTCAAGTTTCTTAAGGATTCAAAGGAAAAGGTCTTAACAACCAGTTTTTCAGTTGGGGAATCTTTTCCTTCAGTTTTATGCCTTTGGGCTACCTTCACTCTTTCTCCTCAGTATTTATAAGTTTCATTTGGATTTGGGTGTCGTTTTATTTATTTCACTTCAATAAACATTTATAAAGTGACTGCTACATGCAGAGTATAGTACTAAGAGCTGGAGAGATAATTCTTAAATAAGACATGGTTCATGAAGGTCTAACTGGCGGTGGCAGGGGAACCAAACAAATAATTATAATACAAAATAATACATTTTAAGTGGATAAGAAATGTGTGAGCCAACGGGTGGGGTGGCCAGGAGAGGGTTGTTACTGACTGTGGAAGGTCCCAGAGGAGGGTACTATAAAAAGAGCATGTGATGTTGAGTTAAAAAGGCTTGGTTCAAATACCACCTCTGCCATTTACTCCCTGTGTGATGTTGGGCAAATCACTTAAACTAAATGACCTCTGTCTAGCTTCAAAATATATAAGCCTATAAATGAGCATTAAAACAAAAATCTAAAAAGAACAAGTAGAATTTTAAAAGATGTGGGGAAGGGATTGAAGCCATTCCAAGTATAGGGAACACCAACAAAGGTACAGGGAGAAGACTTTCTATCCAAGCACATGTATCCATGGCTTTTCATCCTGTGTAATTCTTGTCTGTGGCCCCACATGGAACCTGCAAAGAAGCACAACCCAACATAATTGGAGGCTTTCCTTAAGATGATTTTTTAAAAAAAATGGTGGTTACCAGTATAAGATTGAGCACTTAATGTTTTCCAGAATCACAGGATCACTCTTTATTCTTGCTACATGACCCTCCTACCTCCTTTTCTGATCATGTGACTTGGAGGATCATGATTTTGTTAATTCTTACGGGCAAATTTTTATTGGCAAAAGGCTGCAACCTACTTATGCCCACTCAAGGGTCTATCATTCTTCTGGTCCCTTATGATTTTGATTCTTTGGAAATCATGGTGTCACATGATTCTTAGTTGTATCACTGCAAACATTGGTTTGGGAGGGAAAAAGAAAGGTTGTGTAGAGCAGCTTTCAGAGTTATTGAAAGTACTGGTTCAACTTCTCAAATCTAATCCAGCTTACTCTCTTCCCGTTCAATTATGGTATCAGCAAGAGTCAAAGGCAGGCCTCTAGGATTTAGCCTGGAAACCCATCTTTTCAGCTACTGCTTTGCACCTTTCTGAAATGCATCCTGCCATAGGTCAGATGGAAAGATGAGTTATAGAGTAAATCATCTATCATTTGGATTACTCCTAGGAGTCCTGGTAAGAGGGGAGCCACCAGGTGAGTTTTTTCTGGAAGATGCAATCCCCACTCAGCAGAAACAAAATGTGGCTATTTCAATCCTGAGAGCTTTCCATCAACAACAGCTCATAAGTCTTATGGTGTAAGACATCTGTTTGTACTTTGACACCTCAGCCACTTTTACAGGATAACCCAGTGACAGGGAAAAATAATTAAATTAGAAGACCCCCAAATTTCAGTTACATTTAAACTCTGACAAGATTTTGAAACCCATTATTCCAAACAAAGTACTACTTTCTTTCCTGGAGGATAGTAAGGTCAGTAATAGAATTATTTTTTTTTTTTGCTTTTTGGTGAGGCAGTTGGGGTTAAGTGACTTGCCTAAGGTCACACAGCTAGATGTCAAGGGTCTGGGACCGGATTTGAACTCAGGTCCTCGTGACTCCAAGCCCAGAGCTCTATCCACTTCGCCATGTAGCTGCACCGGTAATAGGATTTTTAACAAATAATTCAAACTGACCAATAAAAACATCAGAAATGAAAGGTAATCTTTTATCTGTGAATTATGAATTTTTTGTACTTATTTGGAGGAAAGGGGGTATAACCTGCAGTTTATAGCTCTCAGGTTTTTTTTTTTTGCAGAAACAGCTTATGTGTGTGTATTATCACAATTGCTATCATTTCTTCTAGAACATGTTTCCTAATTTCTTCTCCATTAGCATATATGGTGATGGATATTTTGGCTTTTATCTCACAGGGTTTTTTTTCTTCTGATGCTGCAATTTGTATTAGAGAAAGTGCAGCAAAATAACAATGTGGGTGATAAAGCGAATGCTCAAGTAGGACATTCTGATACGTCAGACCTCTAATGATGTATGCTCTCATCAATATGGCTATCACCTATCACAGCCATGACCCATTCATACTTTCTCATCCTATGATTCTTGTATATGCCTTCCCATGAATGTTCTCTGGAGTATCTACCCAATCTTGTACAGGCTTTCCTCTAGGTCCTTTTATATTTTGTGGTCACCAGTGAAGCTGTCAGGCTATTCATTGGACCGGGGTGGGGAACCTGCGGCTTCAAGGCCACATGTGGCTCTCTGGGTCCTCAAGTGTGGCCCTTTGAATCCAAACTTCACAGAACAAATCCCCTTTATAAAAGGATTTGTTCTGTAAAACTTAGACTCAGTCAAAAGACCACACCCAAGGACCTAAAGGCCACATGTGGCCTCGAGGTTGCAGGTTCCCCACCCCTGTATCCCATACTCTCACAATATGACCAGCCCAGCTCCTTTTATACCACCTCTTACAGGCAAGTCATCAATGGTAGTAATATACAGTAGCATATCCTACTTATACCTGTTAAGTCTCTGTCCATTGCACTTGGGGTCATCTGTAACATCAATCCCTTGATGTTCATGGAGTCCTAGAATTTGCAGTATCACTAAGAGACTATGGGAAGTTAAAAATGTGGATGTGTCACAGGAAGCTTGGGATAAATGGAAAGCATTCTGAATACCTTATTCCTCTTTTCATGGGAGTGGGGAGGTGGGGCTATAGATATAAAATATTGCATATACTGTTAGACACTTTGGATGCAGTTTTGCTGAACTGCTTCTTTGCACTTTATTTTAAAATTTTTGTTACAGGGGATGTCTCAAGGGGTAAGGGAAAGATTAAAAAAAAGATAACAGTAAAAATAAGATTTTGAAAGCACTGAACAGTTGGTGAATGAATAAATTATTTATGCACATAACAAAATATTATTGTGCCATATAATGATGAATATCAAGAATTCAGACACATGGGAAAACTTGTCTCTGAGACAAATGTGGCCTAGTGGGTGGTAGTTAGTGGGACTCAGAGTCACAAAGAGTTGAGTTCAAATCCTGCACCTAACACCTAGTAACCATGACTTATCAACTAAGTAATAAATGGGTTGTATTGGTGTAGGGAGTTTCCATAACAAAATCACTGATCTTGATGTATGAAAAGAGAAAATGCTATGAAGTGATATAGAATGAAGAAAGCAGAGCTTAAAGAACAATAAACAAAATGACTACAATGAGGTCAATAAGGAGAGATCACACAACTGGTCAAATAAAACAAACATTAGTACTCTCTGTTAATGATTGATAACTTTGGGGGAATGTATTTAGTAAGTTTGGTCATTTAGGGTGTTGGGAAGTGTCTGTGGTGTCAAAATGTAACAATGAACTTTTAAAAACACAAAATACTAATTTCCTAAATATAATCCAGCCTATTCTTTTCATCCTTACTCAATTCTGGATCCCTCTCAGTCTGTGTTTTCAGTGCTTGTCCTGGACACATATACTAACTCAATGGATTGCCTCTCCAACTACATGTCACAATCTGGACAATAAGCATTTTTATTTCATTTGTTTTTCCTGTCTATAATGTTAGGCTAATCTCTCCTGACTAGTTGTCTTCTCATTGAGAAGCCTCTATATGCAATCAACACAATGCCATTTTCAAATACGAGATCCTGGAGAAATTCCAGAGTGGATCCCACTTCTCTTTGTACAGAATATCCTCTGCGAACACCTTTGTCGAATATATATTGCTTTATTTTCATTGTTTTGTTGTTTTGACAAAAGAACGAAAAGATGCATGAACAAATGAGAAAACACTTATTAAGCACTTAGTATGTGCCCAACACTGAACTAAGTGCTAGGGAGACATATATAAAAGCAAAGACAACTCCTGCCCTTAAGCAGCTTTCACTGCAGTAGGAGGAAACGCATGGGTGGGATGGTGACCAGGGAGGGGTAATTTGGTTTGGAAAATTACGAGGATCATGAGTGGAGCTATAGGAAAGTAGATGAACACAGCATATCTAGGGACAATGACAGAGTTGACTTGATCATGTTTATTTGGGGGGAGTGAGAAGGGCACAGTAGGAAGTGGTGGCCAGGTGCTTGTAGAGATGTATTTCTAACTCAGCTGTCTTTTTGGGATTTCCCTCATTGCCTAGGCCTTCTTACCCCATGATGTCCTTCTGCCGTGTTGGCCCCCTTCCACTGGTGAGTTGGTTCTGGGGCTGCCATTTTGGGGATAAGTCTGGGTCAAATTTCATTCACCTATGGATTTGGATGGGTATCCCCTAGTGTTTCAGCTCCTTTTTATATGTAGTCTTCCACCATTTGAATGTTAACTCCTTTTTCTCTTTGCTTATATATGTATATCCCCAGCACTTAGCCTAGTGCTTGGCACATTATAAGCACTTAATAATCCTTATTCCCTGCCTGAGCAGTGAAGCATGAACCTTCCCAATTCCTACTCTGGGTTGCCCTCCTCTCTCCCCCAGGAGAGCCTTTAAGATTGTGTTTTACTCTAAGCCAATTATGTGTGAGGTCCTATGAGAGATACAAAGTACAAGACAAAATGCTGATGAAAATAAAACATATATGAATGAAAAAACAAACAAAAAAGTTAAATAAATACAAAAATAGTATCATGTTTGTCATGAGACAACTTAATCTTATTACATGAGTTTCACACACAACGAATGCTAAGTTTAGTGGAAGAAGAGATCACTTAGTTGGAGAGAAAGCTTCAAGTAGAAAGAATTTGAACTTGGTCTTAAAGGATGGTAAGATTTAACTAGGTAGACAAGAAGGAAAAAGACGCCAATAGGAAGAATGGAAAATGGCCGAGTACAGTAAGTATCCAGGGGTCAATGAGATCAGTCTGTGTCTGGAAATGGGAGGTGCGAGTTGAGAAATAGGGAGAGAAAATTAGAACAGTAAACTTGGACACAATGGGGATAATGACCCTAACACTGAGAGAAAGTCAGAAGTTCAGGAAAAGTTTAGGGATTTCTTCCACGAGTAATGGGGAATCAATGAAGGATCTGGAGCAGGAGAGAGTGATGAGATCAAGGCAGTGCTTCAGGAAGAATTAATTTGCCAGCAATATGCAAGCTGGATTGGAGGGAACAGACCCTGAGGCAAGGATCTCATTAGTTGGGAGACTATTAAAATAGTCTGGCATGATAATTAAGGCCCTGAATTAAGACAGCTGATAGTTAGAACTGAAAGAAATGAGCCATTTTAAGACAAACTGCAAAGGGAAGGTGTGATAGAGAATGGTAACTGATGGCATGAGAGGAGCAAAGGTGAAATCCAAGAAAACTGAGGTTCTGTGCCTCACTGTTGCTGCCACTGATAACAAGAGGGAAGCAGGAGGGGGAATTCCTTTAGAAGGTGTTTTGGGGAGGAATGGGGAAAATGATGAATTTGGCAGACACCTTGGGCTTATAGTGAGGGGTGCTACCCAAGTAAAAAATCTGTCAGCCAGAGATACAAAAATGGAGCCTGAAGGAGAAACTGAGGCTAGATTTGCAAATCATTCACACAGAAGTAACTGAAACCATGAAAGTAAAGGACATTTACAAGAGAGACAGACTAGAAAGAAAGATAAAAACCTGGGAGAATATCTACATTTAGGGAATATCAGAAAGAAGTAAGCAGTGGTCAGAGAGGAAGATAACAATTAGAAGGGAACTCAAAGTTAGGCAAATGTCAAAAGCTGCAGAGAAAAACAAACAAAAAAAGAATTAAGATGGAGAAAAGAACACTGAATTTGGTAACCAATTTGGTTGTTAATGACTTTCAAGAGAATATTTTTAATAAAGTGGTAGAGTGGAAGCCAGATTGAAGTGGAGTGAAATCAGGCAAGTGGTGACAAGGAAAATGCAGCAAATAGTAGTATACACGTATATACTGCTAGAAGTCTGTTAGTGGAAAGAAGGAAAGATACAATAGTGGACAGAAGGTGGGCGGCAGAGACAAGTTTCTCTCAAGGTAGGAGAGAACTGTTCGTGGAATTCCAATTCAGTAGCAATGCAGAGAATGAAAATGCTATAAAGAACAAAGGATAATTTAATAAAGTCTTTCAGGAGGTGGAGGGGACAGGTTGAGAAATGGAAGGAAAGACGGAGGCCCTGGAAAGGTAGAGGTGTGAGAACACCTTTGAGAATGGAAGAAAAAAGAGTGTAGGGAAAAAGAGCCAGATTTCAGCTCTCTCTAAACTTCCTAAACGGAACAGTATAAAATGGAATAGAATATGTTGGTAGGTAGTGTGTTCACTGGAGAACTTGAAGTAGAGACTAGATGACCTCTCTTCAGGAATATTGTAAAGGGAGAATTCCTGCTTAGGTATAAGCTGCACTAACTGACCTATGAAGTTTCCACTAAATGAAATTCTATGAGCCTGTGGAGCTATGACTCTAGCAATTCATGATTTGTATCTTCCCAATAAAAAAGTGGAAGACTAGTTCATCTGATTTAAGTAGGGAGTGGAGACAGAACTGGCAGTTTGAGCAGAAAAGATGTTTTGGAACAACCATCAATAAAAAAATAAAGGCTAGTTAAACAGTAGTGAGGGCTCTGTTAAACCTACATAGCATGAATGTATCCTGGGTTTAGAACATTTCTGTAACTTTTTCCAGAAATGCTGTATGGCTCAGGAAGAAGAGCAAAACAAGGAGAGGGGAATGATCCAGGCAGGAGATCAGTATAGAGAATACAGCAGAACTAGGTACAAAGTCTTAGACACAAACAAACAACCATTTAATTAAATATTGAAATATAACCAGTATTTCAGAAAAAGTGGCACCGTGTACCCAATTACTTTGCTAGTGCATGTTCCTTTATTTGGTTAATTTTTCACAAAAAAAAAGAATTCATGTCCACATCTAAGACAGTTTCCTGAAAGTCATAATCATAAAGGTTTTTCTTCTTTCTCTTCAAGAGAAATTTTAAGTTTTATAGATGGAACAATCACTTTCTACATCCCATCCCATCCTTTGGAAGAAGCAGACCACACTACTTTCTAATACTAACCCACTCAGGATGGCCAACAATGAAAGCTTGCGACTGATGTTTAAGGTCACTGCAAAAGAAATGAAAAATCACTCAGTGTTTACAAAGTTCACAAACTGGTGATATTTAGATTATTTACATGGTAACAATATTCTGTAGGCTTAAAGTTTTTTTTTAATGTATTTGTTCTATGGAATCTGCATTGGACTACATTTACCATTGCTGCTATCTTCTCCCATACCTCTGCATCCCTTTCTACTGTTACCAGTATCACAAGATTAAGTACAAAAATTGTCACTATAAGTGATAATACTGTCTCCTTACCTCCCATGACAAGAACCAAACTATAGGAAACCCCAAAGGGTGTTAATATTAGAAATAACATAAAGGTGAAAGGTAACACAAATAGTACTAAAGACAGCAGAAAGACCGAGAAGGATTATCATATGGATAAACAGGTACCAGGTTCAAATCAGCACTTCCTAAAAGAGTAACTTTTGATTTCTCTTACTTGATTTAGGTTTGTATAAGAAAAAGTTCAAGAAATGCAAGGGAATTTGTCCTAATTCCTCCACTTACTAGCTGTGTGGCCAAGAGCAAGTCATTTAATGTCTCTGAATCTTTGTTTCTTCATTAATAAAATGGGGATAATACCACTTACTTTGCCTAGCTAATAATGTCATCGTACTATTCATGCAGACAGGTAAAAAGGCTTTGAAAACTGTACTGCACTGCACAGATGTATGGTGGGGGTATTATTCTATGAAGGACCCCAGCATTCATTATGATCTTAAAATGATATGCTCTGCCCCACATACATGGGATTAAATTATTTCTATGCCAAATATATAAAGGAAATTGACAAACGGGAATTAAAATATAAATATACCTCTTATTGCCTGAGAATTTGATGTAAGCACAAATACTTTTATGAGTTTGAGACACAGAGGAGTGTAGTCATGTTCCCAAATTACAGCTGGAATCAGCAGGAGTTTCCCATAGCTGGACAATAGTAGTGCTTTCAGAAGCAAAATGAAGTTGCACTTTCTTCTCATTGTTGTGGGTTGGATTAGCCACAAACCAGCAAAAATTCCCATAAAGAAAGCCATTTGTTCTATAGAGGAAATGAAAATGGAAAGTATGAATCATCACATCAAAACCAAACCCCACCTAAAAACAAGTAAACCCGAATTTCAAAAACTGATCAGTAGATTCCACGAGAAATTTCTCTCTTTTTTTGGACCTCTGGCTTTTGTTAGTCAAGCTGTGATACTACAACTTCTGAAACACAATTAAATTCAACTTGATTCATGTGTTTCCCTACTTATAGCAGTGAGACAATTCATCTACAATTCAAAAACAACAACTGTCAACAAGACAGATAGATTCAATGAGTATTTGAAATTTTTTCTTTCTTAGATTTTCAGTTCCTATTTCTTCAGTATCTAGATGTAATCTACAGAATCTCCGAAAAGTCTGCCAATTACTGATGTGTATCTTAAAAAGGAAGAAAGGATAGAATAGAGGACAAGAGGTCTAAATTCAGAACTAGGGGACTTATTCCAAAGATAGCAAATGGAAGGAATTTGACTGTATATGCCTTCTGATGATTTTTTTTCTTCATTTTATCTTTTTATTATGAAATCCCTGGCCTAAACAATTCCAATGAAAGACACTAGATGACTATCTGCAGTGAAGGCTATCTGAAGGTATTCTTGGATAGGACGACTCCTGGGTCCCTTTTAATAAAGACTTAAGGTTTCGAAACTGGTTCTAACCTACATTTTCAGACACGGCTAACATGGAAAGCTATTCTGCTGGATTCTGCAGCTATGAATAAGTAAGCTTCATTCATTCATCCACTCATTCACTTCTCAATGGGAATGGAGGGGCAGGGGAAGGATTAATTTTAATATGCTTGTTAGTTGAAAAAAAATTAAAAAAAAAAAAAGAAGTCAGCTTTAGATCCATTCTCAATTAGGCAAAATTTGAGCCTCCACTGTCCTTATTTATAAAGTATGTAAAATAAGGTTGCCTCACTTTTCTCACCTATAAAAAGAAAAGATTGGATAGAAGGATCCTTTTCCTTCCAACTCTAATGTACTACGAATCTATGATCCTTCACAAGAAAGATGAGACATAATATTAATACCCTACCAGGAATTCCTTGAAAATGAGGCACAAATACATATCCAATGTGGTATTAGTAGGACTGAAAAGCTCTGCTTTTCCCTCTTCTAAGAAAAATCAAGGCCTCCAACAGAAAATTTGTGACTTGATGCTTCAGCCATACTGAGCATTTTAAGTTTTCCAGTGACAAGTACAAAGGGCTTTAAAGAAAATACAGTATCTGAAATTTATAATAGGCTCTCTCATTATTTTAAAAAGTAGAGGGATATTCTTCGACAGTTTTCCTTTGGAATAAAAATATAAATGAGTGTCTATGTCATTATTAATCAATACTTACAAAGCATCCATTGTGAGTTTGGTATTATAGTTTTTCTTGAATTGGATGGGACACTTTATTCCTAAATTCAATCAATGGACCTGGTTGCTACTACATGCACAGCACTATGCTAAGTGTTGTGGAGGATACAAAAGCAGGATAAGGCATTCTCCTGGCCTCTACACACATTAAACAATTCAACAACTAGAAAATAGTATATACTTAACTCTCAACATGAATAATACAGAATAAATGATCCTACAGGAGTTTAAAGGTTTCCCATTCTAGAATTAGTTTACTCTGCTTAACTTTTGATACTTGAGGAAAAAAAATGCTGAGAGCTAGGATGTTTGTCGCTAGAAAGACTATCATCAGTTATTTTAAAATAATGGTAGTTATACCCAAAAATGCATAAGGCAATTACTGGAACTGACATCACTGATAAGCTGTTTTAAGTCTCATCTGCAAAATAAGACTAATAATAGCATCTGCCGAACAGGGTTGTAAGAATAAAATGAGAAAATATATGTAAAATGCTGTGCAAACCTTGAAGCCCTATATAAATGTTAGCTGCTAGCATTAACATCATTATCTAGCCTCAGTAAACAAGGGACTGGGATATCCTTGGTTTGTTAACATTTGTTTAGGTCTCAATATTGAAATAAACAAGCAGATTTCCCTTCAAATCCCCAAAGCATTTATGAGAAACTCAAAAAGATATATGTTATCTCTATTTATAACTACATTTATTATTTAGTCATATCCAATTCTTCATGATCCCATTTGGAGCTTTCTTAGCAAAGATACTGGAGTAGTTTGCCATTTCCTTTTCCAGCTCATTTCACAGATGAGGAACTGAGGCAAACAGTGTTAGGTGACTTGCCCAGGGTCACCCAGCTGGTAAGTGTCTGAGGCCAAACTGAACTCAAGAAGATGAGTCTTTCTAACTCCAGGCCCGATGCTCCATCTATTGTGCCACTTAGCTGCCCTATCTACATTTACACACACATTTTACTCAAGTGGTAAAACAGAAGGTAGAGTCTCTCATCTCTGGGGTGATGGATTAGTCAGTTCTCAGCTGGGATTTCTGTATCTCTGTCCTCTGTAATTTAGACTGCCTGGCTCTTTAGGTGTATTTAGCTATGAAATGGTCAAGATTCATGGCCAAAGGTCAGAAAGGTTACTAACCACTGGCCAAACAGTTTTACTAGGCCACTGCAGAGGTGAGTTTTTATATATCTTCTACAGATGGCAATTATTCTTTTAAATATTATACTCTATCCATCTATTAAAATAATTCATGCCCAACTGGTAGAATATCCCTACTTTGGTGTGGTGATACTGTTCCGAACTTGGAATAAGGAACACTTGGGTTCAGATCCTGTCCCTGACATTAAGTTTGTGACTCTGAGAAGGTTATTTAACCTCTACAAGTCTGTTTTCTCATCTGCAAAACAGAGGTAATATAACCCATAAAACCTCTCTTATAGGGCTCAAATGAGATGATGTGAAATGCTTTGCACATCTTAAAGTAAGTGCTACATAAATATCATTTATTAAGACAACAGCATTCAAAGAGAATGCCTGGGAAGAATCCTCCCACTGGCCAAATTGAATAGTTGAATGTTACAAGCCTAGCAGATGTAGGACAAATGTGATAAGCATATATTTAAACATACTGCAAACCTGTTTAGCTTATTTATCCAGTTCCTTCAAGTTGGATAATTGGTCACTGAATTAATAAGATATACTGAATTAATGAGATGATATTACAATGGCATTTATATGGTACTCCAAAACATTTCCTAAAAGCCATCCGATTTGATGAAGAATGATTTTTTCCCATTTCATATGAAAAAGCAAAAAGAATAAAAAAGCTGAAGTGATTTAATCAAAATCATAGAGCAGATGAGTGGCAGACTTCAGAATTTCATCTTAGCCTCTCCATTCCAGTTCATCTGACCACTTCATTCTGAACTCAGCAGCCCATCTCCCATCTCTGTGCCTTTATACTGGCCATTTGTCAGGCCTGACATCTCTTTCTCACCTTTTCCCTTCAGCATCCTTAACTTTGTTCAAGGGTCAGCAAAGGTGCCCTATCTCAAGAAAAGTCCCCTTGTTGCTAGCATTCTCTCCCTTCTTAAATTCCTTTATTTTGTGTTCAGATTGTATCTTCCACTAGAACGTAAACTCCTTGAGGGCAGAGATAGTTTTCTTTTTGACTTCTTACTGTCTAGCATAGTGAACCGAGTAGACATTTTTGGTTGAATTTAACTGATCAAGCCACTCTGAGGTTTTAATGAAGATTCATACTTTAGTAGGAATATGAAGAATGACTTCTTACCTAAAGAAGCTATTGTAAACATTCTATAGAAATCCCATTCTTTGGCATATCTTATTAAGTCATCAGGGTCAGTGTGCTGGCTTGAATCTTGCAGCTGCAACCACCTCAGATATGCTTCACAAAGCAAACAAAATATGCAGAGCTTCCCATGGATCTGATAACCAAAAACACCTGGCACTTAAGTCAGGTAAAGAAACAGCCCAAATGTACTTAATATTAATAAGGCAAAAAATACTGCATAGTATTTATTTTTGCTAAGGAAGTTCCCACTTAATAGCTCTTTAAACTTAGGATTGTCAAATTAACAATCCATTTGCATTTATTCTTTAAACCATTTCACTAATCAATTATATTATTTGCAAGTTCTTCTTTAGTTCCTTTTGAAAGAAGAAAGCACAAAATAGTGACTTGCAGTGGTGGAGGAGAAGCAAGAAAACAAAGGCAATATAAAGCCATTTTTACCAACTGTGAAATTCCTAATAAAACTGATTCTAGTCCTAATCTAGATTGTGTGTTATAAAGTGACAAAGACAAACTACAAATCAATTGGAAAATTCCAAAGATTAGAGCAGCTACAAAAACAGAAAATACTAGGAAATTTGAGCTGAACTTTTTGACATGTACATTACGTGTGCCTTGTCTACACATTAAAATCTTTCTGACCTTAAAGATTTCTACAGGCAGAAGGGTTCAGGCCTAAGCTTGCTGAGAAGATGCGGTCAGACGCCCACAAATCATGGACTATATCTCTATTGTCATTTTAAACCACTAAGATATCCTAATTTTGAGCAAACAACTCTGTTACTGCCCTACTATTTATGCAGTATTTGCTGATCTAAATTGTTAAACAGATTTCAATTCAATAAATTAAATGAACCTCTGAAAGCCTACTTCCCTTTATGAAGACTTCCAAGATTAAATGGCAGAAGGGTGCTTTTCTATACCCACATTCACTCAAAAGCAACTAGGTACAGAATAGTGAAACCTGTAAACAGTGTAAATACTGCTGTTAATTTATCAGCCTCCTAGACATTTAACATAGTTTTCAAATGATGTAAAAATGAGAAAAATATACAACTTACATTTATCTTAGTATTAAAAAGGATATGCCTGTAGGCCTGTGCTTTGCATAAAATGGCATTGATCAGGATGATTACAGGATCATACTCGATGTACTTGTCCACAGGCTTCTGGCAAGACTTCTGAAATATTTCAAGATAAGATTATGTCAGAACGAGTAATGTAATGCAGAACATTATTTTGCCATTTAGGTAGTAGGGCCCTTTAAGCCATGGAAAGCAAAAGTTGGCGCTTAATCTTGTCCCAGACCTCTTTCCTCCTAAATCTAAACAACAGTGAAATGTACCCTTGCATAGCTCAGCATAGCCCGTACCTCCAACGCAAATGGATAAGAAAGCTTGCAATATAATTGCTTTAGATAATTATGTTTATACCAGAGACCAGGACACCTGGTCTGCTTTGTGTGATCTCTGACCCATAATAATGGGGTGCTCGGGTGCTTGTGCTTGTACTTGTGCCCCAATTTCTCCCTAGTCTCAGAAACACTGTCTCTAACAACCATTCCCCAGCCCAAGGACACTGTGCCTAGCAGTTATTCATGCATGGGCCTCAGCATGACCCTTATCTCTCTCCCTGGTACAGCTACACAGAGCTGGGCTGCTCAGGCCCCAGCCCTCAGATCATGTCTCTGGAAGCCTCCCAATTCCTCAGTAAGTTCCTGTGTTGTGAGAAAGCTTTCCTTTGTTGCAGAGCATTCTCATGTCAAGACAGAGGGAGAGGGGTGTCCTTGACCAGCCCAAGAACTCTTCCTCTTGCCAGACTTCAAAGATCCATCCCCCTCCCTGTCCTGTATACTCCCTGTAGTTTCCTATCCATAGCCCCCAAAGACACCTGCATCTTTGGATTACCTCATCAGTGTTCCTCTCATTTCTTTCCCATGCTCTTTTCTATATAAACCCTAGCTCGACCCCTGATGGGGGCTGCTTGATTTGGATGTGCATACCCCTTGCAGCCGCACGCTAATAAAGTCCACATCTTAAATCACGTCTGGGTCTCACTCGCTGATTTCTCAGTACAACAGTAAATGCACATTATGAAATCTTACAGATGTAAAAATATCTGGTGCTGGAAAATAAGGTTACACTGATATTTTCACTAATTTTGATTAAATACATATATAGTCCCAAAGTTTGTTCTAAATTACATAGCCTTCAAGGTCAGAACTATCAATATTTTAACCTCAAGTGCAAAGAGCTATATGTAAAATTGTATTTAAAGGCTGACATTGGACATAGTTTCATGAGTTGTCAAAATAAAGAATTAACTACCAAGTATCTGGTGTCCCAAGGATGACTTTCTTTATCTTTGGATAGGCTGGTCCTCAGAAATCACACATTATTGGGACTGTATCTCAATTCTTCTCATCTTGGTAGAACCTGAAAGAATTTGAGCTCTGCTGACATAAAGCCTGTGAGAACCACTATAGCTCTCAAGGTTTATTCAACCTTCTACTTTGTCAGTGATGGTGAGAGAGTGGCAGAAAAGCAGAAGAAGGTGGCCAGAATCAATTTTTAGTGTCTAAAAACATTAGTTTATTGTTGACCTCCTAATGCTGAGGTCCTTGTTCAATTTATAACTAGCATTTACATAGTGCTTTAAAGTTTGCAAAGCACTATATGTCTTAATTCATTTATTAATAATTATAGCAGCTAGCATTGATATGACTACTGTGTGCCAGGCACTGTGTGCTAAGTGCACTGCAACTATGATCACATTTGATTCTCACAACAATGGGAGGGAAGAGTTACTATTATCCCAATTTTTTTTTTAAAGATGAGGAAACTGAGACCAAGGGAGGTTAGCTGACTTTCCCAGGATCACACAGCTAAGTGTTTAAAGTAGGATTGGAATTCAGATCTTTCTGACTCCAAGCCTAGCACTGTCCATTACACTGCCTCACTGTAGTTACCATGTCTATAGATTACTGGAGGAACTAAATAATATCAGTTTTAAAATTCTTGCTATAAAATGAAACCAGAAGACAAAAGGAAGTTAGTTGTAGTTAAGTGGGGTGATGGCTCACAAGTTCTCTTCATAAACTAGGCAAATTATTAATAGAATTTGTGGAATTGATTTTATCATGATTCAAAAAGCATCCTTTCCAAGGATCCACAGGATACCTGGTCATTGTATATTACAGTGTTCATATTAGCTTTTGGAAAAAAGACCACCATTGGAGCCAAATGTTGTAGAGGATGAGGAAGTGTAGAAATCCTACCAAAAAATTTTGATAAGGCTCTCTGTATTATTCAGTATATACTGTAATACTCAGTGGCTTCAATGTTAAGATGGGGTTGGGGGAAAATGGCAAAAAAATGTTTTGGAAAACATGGTTCAGGGAGTAAGATATGAAGAGAGGCTAAGTTTTGCAGAATGTACATACGCTTCACTAATATATCATTATTTTCTTCAAGGAAACAGTAGACATTAAATGTGAACACCAATAAATATCACAAAACCTAAAATGTATTGTTTTTCAACAGGTAAGAGCAGAGTGGTTAATAATGTGGGAATCAACTACCTATGTATGATTAAGCTCACTGATTCAGTGGAAGAAAGAACAACATTAGTATCCAATTAGAAGAAAGGTATCGTTTTCAACTGAGGCAAGCCCAACCAGTCCAAATGAAACAAGTAACTGAGGCTGTTAAATGGGAAATGGATAAAAGAACAGACTGGGACACAGACTATCACTATCTCCTGAGGAAGTAAATCAATTTCCCCAAAACCAAAACAATCTAGAAACTCTTAGCCATTTAAATTTATGCTTCATTAAGAAGGGCACAGAATATTAAGTAGGTTGCAGTTCTATTATCTTCTTCACTAGTCAGAAAACATTTGTAATATTGTGTTTAGTTCTGGGTGTCACCTTTTAGGAAGGACACTGATAGGCTAAGTATCCAGAGAAGAATAACCATGATGGTGAAGGGTCTCAAGTTCATGCCATACAAGGACTGGTTGAAGGAACTGGGGAAATAAAACTTGGACAAGACATGAAGATAGGAGGACAGGATGGCCACCTTCAAGTAACTAAAGGGCTGTTCTTTCAAAGAAGGATTATACTTCTTTATTCTTTCAAGGCAGAACTCTAGGATTGATGGGTAAAAGCTGAAAAGAGTCAAATGTAGATACGATGCAAGAAATACTTTCCTAACAATTACAGCTATTCAGAAGTAGAACGGATCACTCAAGAAGTGGAAGTCTTCAAGTAAAAGCCAAATGACCACTTTTCAGAGGTGCTGGAGGGAGGATTCTTGTTCAGGTATGCTCAGCACAGATGGCCCTTGAGGGCACTCCAATGCTCAGATCAAATGATTCTGCCACTCTTACCAAGGAGAAAGATAACACAGAGCATTTGTAGAATCTTACAGAGGAATAGAACAGGAGACTGAGGAGTAGCACTTCATAACACAAGAAACAATGTAGGGAAAATAAGTCCATACACTCATCATTCTTGGGTTGTTTTAAAAACAGAACTGGAAGGATGACAATAAAGAGACAAAAAAGGGAAAAGATCTATTTAGGTTTCTATGACAAAAACTCTTTTCCCCACCAGCATGAGAAGGTAGGATGGTACTGAAGAAAACAAATATGGGAAAGAATGTAGGATCAGATCAAGTATACACAGAGTTGGTGTGATCTGGAGGTAACACAATTTTAAGGGTGTTAAAGTCTGGATTCTCAAGATAAATGAAAGAAAGGAAGATACCAAAAGTTTTGGAAAAAAAAAAATGGACCTTATTACCACTAAATAAAAAGGTGACTAAGAAAATATTAATAACCACTAGCCCATATACCTACTTCACCATCTTTACAAAATCCTCCTAAGAATAATTTATATAAACATGAAGGCGCATCCTTAAGGAAGATAGTGTGTAATAAATGCTTATTTATTATTTCTTCTATGTGTCAGGCACTGGGTACTGGGGATAGAAAGACAAAAATCAAGTGGTCCCTGACCTCAAAAAGGTTACATTCTACTCAAGAGCACATACAAATTTATGTATATGCAAAATAAATATAAAGTAGTTTTTGGGGTGAAGGGAACACTAACAGGTAGAGGGGATCAAGAAAAGTTGTGGAGTAGAAGATGGCACTTGAGCTGAGCTTTGAAGGAAACTAGGGATTCTATGGACAGTAAAGAGGAAATGAATTCCTGGCATGGGGGACAAGTTATGTAAAGGCACAGAGGTGAGTATGAGGAGGTCAGTATAGTTAGACCAGAAAGTGCATGAAGGGGAGTAATGGCTGATAAACCTGGAGAGGCAGGGTGGACCCAGTCTGTAAGGCACGAAATGCCAAACAGAGGGTCTGTATGTGATTCTAGAGGTCACAGAGACCACAGGAGTTTACAGAATAGAGTAGTGATATGTCAGCCTTGTGATTTAGGCCTATCCGTTTAGCAGCTATGCACACAATAAATTGGAGAGAGGAAAGACCTGAGGCACAGGCACACATTAAAAGGCTACTGCAATAATTTTCCAGGTGAGAAATGATGAGGGCCTGAACTAATCTGAGCAGAGAGAAGGGGAGAGATATGAGAGAAGTTGTTGAGGAAAAACTGACAAGATTTAGCAACTGACTGGATATATAGGATGAGGGAGAGTGAGTAGCTGAGGTGACTGGAATGATGATGGTACCCAAAAGAAAGGGAAGTTCTGGAAAAGAGTGGGTTTTAGTGCAAAGACAATGAGTTCTATTTTGCAGTTTGAGGTGCCTGTGAGAATGTCCAGTTTAAAATGTCCAACAGGCAGTTGGTGAGGTTGAATTGTAGCTCAGGAGGGATTACGGCTGATTATAAAAATCTGGGAGTCTTCTACAAAAAGATCATAATTAAACCTATGGAAGCTGATGAGGTCACAAAGACAGAGCACAGAAAGAAAAGAGGAGAGAGAAGGGGGCAGACTTTCACAGATAATATTCTACAGCAGACCTCACTTGTATCATCACACAATTGACTGAAAGTGTAGAGATACAAAATAACATTGCACTTTCTGTTGGTGTTAAAAAAACACTTGATTTGGGAGAGTAAAAGCTGCCTTAAAGACTTCCCTGAGTCTGCTATGCATATTTTTAAATTATACAAGATTTCTTGACAGATCAACAAAAAAGCTTTTTTGGG